GTTACCCCACAAATCTATCTTAACATTCATACCAGGTAACACTTTTTAATGGATTAAATACGAAAAGTACTACTCGCTGATTGGGACAGAACTTTTTTAACATCAAAGAACAAATGTAACAAGGAAAATAGTGCACCACATTCATTTAACTAAATTCCAGAATTTACCACACTGGTAAAAGCTCTTTTATCATAATGTACTGTGGAGATCAAATTTATTAATACCCAAATGCACCGTATCACTGCGGTGGTATTACAGTAATTTTAATACCCAAAACCACATAACCATATCCGTCATAACTTTTTCAAAAACACCGATGTCAAATTCTACCCGAATTATCCTTATATCTTTGAAATACCAGCAAATTAGGTACAGTACCGAATGCCCCACTTATTGGTTCTTTTGTACCACATTAACAACGTACCAGATTTTCAAAATAAGCTTGTAATACAAATAATGCGGTATTAGACTTAATACCTTTACAAATGACGTTCAATAAAATTAACAAACACGGCCACTGCGAAGGATAAACGACGGTATTAATATCAAATGTTTGTATTTCTTATTGTAACGTCCATAAATCTGTTGATTACAGAATGCTCTTTGGCAACTTTCGGTACCGGCGTCGGTGTACAACGCATACCATTTGTATATTTACCTTTGAAGGGTCAAATTATACATCCGTCGAGGGAAATCACGTTTCACAGTAAGTATGGTGATAGTTGCTCCAATTTATTTAAGCTATTAACATGGAATATAAAATCATACTAATATTATAAATGCGACAGTTTAGATGGATGTGTGTTAGACTTTGTAGCCTAAACAGCTAAACGGATATCGATGAAATTTAGCACAGATGAATAGAATAGTCTGGTCACACGGGCTATACTTAGGTGTATTATTTACTAGCTGTTCCCATGCGATTTCATCCGCATGGAATTATGAAAATTTTATTTTATCGTTTACATCTGTCAAATTATCAATTACAAATGTCAAAATGATATGACATGATGACAACCTTGCTTCACAGATGTTGGCAGCAACTTGTGGTCTCTTTCCCACATTAGGGTTTTTATCCAAAATATTTAACCCCTAAGTATAATAGCGTTAAAATATATAGCCTAAAGCGTGACGCAAGTGTAGGGCTTTTTATTAAAAAAAGAGTTATTCAAAAATATCCTGTTATTGCTGACATCTTAGGCAACAAAGAAGTGTGTGTATACGCTTTCTTATAATAATATAGAAATATAGATTTGCTATGATATTGGCATGAATTGGACAATTTGTACTGCACATATCCTTTGTTGTTAAAAGTTTCTTGTTACTAATTTCAGATGTGAAAACGCCGATATGTGCGGTGTCCGGTGCACAATTTCTAACTCGCAAAGGCTTTGTGGATCTACGGAACTCGCTCGACGCGGACGTACCTTTCAGTCTATTCCGTGATGAAGGTCGTACGTTCTTGCAGGTTTGTTGATATGTTAGAAGTTATTCCACACGTAGGTACTTCTTGCCATAGTGAATTTTACTGTCTCTGTTTTTTTAAAAGAAAACAGACGTGAAGTGCGAGTAATTCCGCGTTTCATTTTATAAGTGTGCGTGCAGGGGTCTAATTTCAGTCCCTTTCCTATTCCACCGTTATAAAGAAAAGAAGGAAATAGGACATAGATTTGACGGAGGAAGAGGAAATGGGCATCATGGGCATATGAAATAGCTTCATCATTTTGGCGAATTCATTTGACCGCTTGCTCGTTTTCCACCTTACATATACCAATATTATAAAGAGGAATGATTTGTATATTTGTATGTATTGAAATAATTCAAAAAATACTGGGCCGATTTAGTCTTTCACCATTGAAAATCTACATTATAACTGAGTAACACTGAAAATATTTACGTAGATGTAGTCGCGAATACTATAAAAAAGTACTGTACTTTCTTTTACTATAAAGGCTAATAAAAAAAATAGAATAGGGCATATACAGTACTCCAATAGAGTATTTATCATCAGTGGAGTGGTGAAGACGAGTTGCGTACGCGTATGTCCGGCCGCGTGCTGGTGGTGCGCCTGCTGTGCCGCGACGTGTCCTCCGCGCCCGCCGCGCCGCTAGACCTGCGCGGGGTCTTTACACCCTGCGTCGCTTTCAGAGTACAAGGCACTCCCACCAGATCACCTAACAGTATGTTAAATGTTTCAATCTATACCCATTGCTTGCAAATCCTATAGCTCTAACAGTGGTAGAGCCCGCTTTAACATCTTCTAGCTCGCCCGGTGCAATACAGACCACACAGAAGACAGGCGTCAAGTGGAAGCAATTCTGCCTACAGTCTGATGAGT